GGCATCGAGAAGAAATTGGTGGTGTTGGTGGGCGAGACTGACGGTACTTCTTATTGGTGGTGTTGGTGGGTGAAATTAGGCTGGTGGTTGTTGCGGTGCGGTGGCTGATTTGCTGAAGGATGGCGAAATCCGGTGGAGAAGGGGGCGGAAACTGACGGGGAAGGAGATGGAGCTGCGAAACGGTAGGGGCTAGCTGTCGCTTGCCGGAGGTGGCAGGGGCTACCACTTGTTGGGTAGGGGTTAGGGTTTTATTTTATTTAATTTTAATTAATTTATTTTGTTTTATTTTTAAATTTTTTTTTCAGACCTATCACGCGTTGACACGTGTTTGGTAACCTTTTACATCAAGTTGGATGGCCGGTTGGGGGTGATAAAAATTAATAGGGTACAAAGTTGGGAGTGATAGAAAATTAATGGAAGTTGGGATTAATAATAGTGGACGTAGCAAAGTTAGGATTAATGGTGGCAATTTTGCATTAGTCACAGTAGTTTAAATCAGATAAGTAATTTGTTTCAAAAAAAAAAAAAAGATATTATTATTTATTTATTTTTTTGAGTAAAATTAGACAAGTAACTTAAGTTTAATTTAGGATAAAACAAAGCAAATTTCAAATAGACTTTGATGAGGGTCAAAAAGAACTAACAACGTCCTATCTATATATACAGTACCAATTAAAGACTTTAAGTTGCTCAGGGTAAAATCGCTAACAAGTAAAAAAACCCGCTAATATTGTTAACAACTTAGCGGTTTTTACTTGTCAATAGTGCAAAACTAAGCCATTAAGATTTGATGTAAAATGTTTTCATGAAAAAAGGTTTTTCATTATTTCTCTTTTATTTTTTGTTTGGTTTATGAAGAAGTGGAAAATAATTTTCCCAAAATTACATCCACAATGATGAAATATATTTTTCATCACAAAATAAGGAAATCCAAATTTTCCTGCGTCTTCCTTATCTCCTTTTTACTTTCCTTTCATCTATCCTCACATTTCCAGAATTTTTCTTTACCTTTTCTTATAAGAATAAGGAAAAATTGTCATGATTAATCCCGCCCTATTCGTCAATATTAATCCCACTTTTGAATTAATTTTTATTAATCCGAACTTTATACCCCTTCCGCTCATAACACCCCCAGGTAATCGATGACCTGAGCATGTAATTTTTTTTTTTTAAGTTTAAAATACACATGTCAGCATGTGATTGGACACAAAAAAAAAAAAAAAAAAAAACACCAAACCACCTGCACAACCACCTCCCTCTCCCCCCGACTGCGCCAACCCATCGGCGATATCTCTCGGCGACGACAGCAACCTCCCTCTCCGACCTGCGCGATCCAAGCCCTTCAATTCCTTGCTCGGCCGTCGCGATCCCCCAGCCCTAAACCCAAACCCCGTCGCGAATTTTGCTGGTTGAAGAGGAGAGTTGGGCGGCTTGTTGATGTTGGTGTTGTTGCGGTTTGTTGTGGGGAACAGGGGAGTACCGTAGCTGGTGGTTTTGCGGGCTGCTCTACTTGTGGTTGTTTGGTGGATGGTGGAGCAGGGGAAGCGGAACAACTGAGTTTGTGGGGTGTGCGGTGGTTGTGAAGGCTGTAGCAGCTCGGTTGTTGTGTGATGTTTCATGAGAAGAGAGGTGGATGGTGGCCGATTTTGGTGGGCGAGAGAATAGAGATGGATGGGGCTGCTGCTTTGGTGCGGTTGTGGCGGTGGAGAAAGTGAGCAGGAGCAGTTTGGGTGGATGAAATTGGAGAGTGAAGGTGGAGCAGGGGAGGGTGGTCGGGGCAGCGCCGGCACCGGGCAGGGAAAGGGGTCTGGGCAGCACCGGCGCTCCGGGGGAAGGTGGTTGGCTGGCTGTGGGTGGCTGCGGGCTGTCGTTGGGTTTTTTTTTTTTTTTTTTTTTTTAGTTTTGATTTATTTTATTTTTTTTTTTAATTTTTAAACTTTTTTTTCCAATCATATGTTAACACGTGTCTTATAACCTGCAATATTAGGTTGAATGACCGGTTAAGAGTGTTATTGATGGACAGGGTATAAAATTCGGATTATTAAAAAATAATCAAAAGTTGAGACTAATATTGATGGATGAGGCAAAATTGGGATTAATCACGACAATTTTCCCATAAAATAAAGGAAAACTATCTTGTAAATGTGGTTTTCCTAAAAAAATGTGTTATCAATAAAAACTAATTTTTCATTGAAAATGATTTACATTAAAACAAACGGGCCTAAATTAGGAATATAAACTTGTATTTTGTCCCAGATCTCGCCTTGGCAGTTTTCCACCAAATCTGAGAGATTCAGTTTCTTCATCGATTATACTTCGTACTTGGTATTTATTAAAGGTTTTATCTTCTTATAACCATTGCTGGTTTTAATGTTTCATCTTTCATGTAACCAAATGCTGCATAAATTGGGCGTTTTTTTATGGTATTGAGTTTCAATTCAAGGACAACAATTTAGTGGGCAAATTTGAAAACCCATTTTGAGTTTGATCATTTTGTGTCAAATGTGTTCTAAACTTGGGGAGAAATTGGGTGTGCACGACAGATGTTTGATGAATTGCCTGACAGAATGCTGCTTATTAGTTGAAATTCAATGATCTTAGGTTTCTTAAAGATGGAATAGATCAGTTTGGAACGTGTGATTTTTGATAAATTGCCCGAAAAGACTTGGTGTCCTGTAATTTGATTGATGCTTATTGGGAATATGAAAACTGAGGTTTCTCTAGTGTTATATGATATGATGTGTACAAAGAAATGTGTATATGTGCATAAGTAGCCAATCTTGTCTTAAGGAAGACTTGGATTTATTTAGGAAGGTACTTAGTTCTAATGATCAACATGATGCTCCTGCATTTCTGCACCTGATTGTGTTTTTTCATCGAAAGCCGGTTTGGGTTACGTTGAGAAAGGCATGGGTAAACAATTACATAGTACATAGCAACAAGAACGAATTATTTCAATAATTTGGTTCACACATTTAGACGTACATTTATGCCTAACTTGGGTGTAAGAGATTAGAGAATGCTAAAGTTGTCTTCAAGAGCATTTCTTATAGAACGAATGTGGGTGATCAGAATTCTATGATATATCTAGCGGTCTGGCCTCGCAAGTCATGGCCTCGGACAAGAAGCTATTGTTGCATTACTTGTGGAAATGATTGTTGTCGTACCTGTGGCTTACAGGGCAATGCTTATTAAAAAATGATGCAAGAAAAGTATAACATCATTCCTAAATTAGACATTATGGTTGCATGATTGACTTTAATTGTGCATGGTACTTAGAGGAAGAAGCCCTTGAGATATGCCTACTGTCAGCATGGTTATAGACTTGTAATTCGATCCTTGTCAGTGACTTGCTGGTTCGCAAATTCCTTGTAGGGAAGCAGTGGGTGCTTACTGCTTAGACCAACAATATGGCTGTCTAAGAAGAAGTCTAAAAGTTGTGATTCACAGGCTGAATATAGAAGGCTTTAAGCCTAATGTTGCTTTCAGACTTTCTTATACGTGACACGAAGACAAAGGGTATTCCAGATTTCCAGTTCATCTAAGGTCTGCAATTGTCAGATTATCGTGAGGGAGCCAAAGCAAGTCCGTAATGCTTCCTGATCTTGTAATGATTTCTGGTGAGTCTCTTGGTTATCTGATGTTGAATTGTTAAGATATTATTAGTAGTCATTGTCTAAGGAAGTATGAGTGATCTCAATGAAGTAGGCATAGTACCCGAAATCTTAGTTTGTGGTCCATGGATATTATCACTTGTCCATGTCCAGCATTTAAGTGATAGTTAATTGTATGAACTGATTTGATGAACTAATTACATTAACTGACTTAGTCTGAAATAGTTGATTACATTAGTCGATTTAGCAAGTATTGTAGTACTCTTGCTTAGAGGCCATTATATTCATTTATGTGGAAATTGGGAGGGCTTTCTATGGCTTCAATGACAAATATAGAGTAATCGATCATCTGCAATCTCTATGCAAACTTACTCAAAATTTTACTCTTTTTTTTTTTTTTTTTTTTTTTTTTTTTTTTTTTTTTTTGGGGGGGGGGGGGTGGTTATGGTTGTCATTGGTGGTGTTGTCGTTGTCGACCTCGTGTCATTGTCAATGGTCTTACTATTGTACGTCTTTCTTTATTCTTGAATCAAAACGTTGTAGGTATCTCTTTTAAGTTCACCTTTTATTGTTGATTTTAAATAAAATCAAATTAGAAAAAGTTACTCGTAGTTTATATCATATCAATAGAATTAAAGTGAACTATACATGGTTTAAATTTAGAAACCTTCACGTATTATGCTATTAGAGTAAATTGGAATTATTTTTAGAACGGTTATCAGTCAATTTACCAAATTTTATTAAAAATAAATTTTAAAGCAACCTTAGTACTATATGAAATAGAAAGGTTGGTTGAAAATGATGCTCCTAGCCTCAAAGTTTGAAATGAAGAATAACATATACAGATATACTACTTCCTTTATGAGTAAATTGTTAAATTTTATTTTAATCCCCTTAAGAATGCAGTGTAACATTTTTATCAAAAGTTGAATTGCAGTCGGTTTCTACTTGATCTTCTATTTTTTGTTCTTGAAGAATTCTGTGCCCTGTCAACATAAATTTCAGACACGTTAGTCTTCACTAAAATAGTCACTTTCTCACTTGTCAGTTGGCTCTTAAAAAAAAAAAAAAAAAAGTATTAAATTAATTAAATACTTGCTTTGATAAGATTAATAAATGGCTTATCGTATGGCATTATTGGGCACGTATATAAATGATATGTAATAAATAAATCATAAAGTAATGCTCTTTTTACTAGAAATTCAGTAAACATATGTAGTGTACTAGTGTGGTCTCAGCAAAGTATCTGGGATTCAGGGTCATTTTCTACTGACAGCCGATCTACTACTGTTGGTTCATTTTCTGGAGTTTCTTCTTCTTCTTCAACACATAAATAAACTTTTGTTTGTTCATTTCTCTATCAAATCTTACTTTAAGGTAATCTGCTTTTATCTTTTGGGCTTTTGGTTTTTTCTTGAATGGGGTATTGAATTTGTCATCTTTATCTTGTATGTTTGTTTTTTCTAGGAAGGAAGGAATTAATGTGAAAAATGGTTTTTTTTTAGCAATCATCTACAAAATTTGAGTGATCTACATAATGGGAATGATAAGATTCAAGAAAAAAAAGAAGTAACTCGCTGGATTTTTATCCATGACCAAGTATTTCTAGTGGTTGAAAATGGTTGTGAGCGGATTATTTTTGTTTGTAGATTTACAAGTTTTTCAGTGAAGATTAACCCAGTTATAGACTTTCGCCTTGAAAATTGATATTAAACATGTTGTTTACTAAATATCCAGGTAGGTAAAGTGTCCTTTTTTTTTTTTTGAAAAACAGGTATGTAAAGTGTTAATTAAGTATCTAAACTTCTACTCGATATGTTATAAATCTGGCTTATCATTGCGATATGTTATTAAATTTGGCTTATCATTGCGATGTGTTATAAATTTGGCTTATCATCGTATTCTACTCGATATGTGTTATTAATGAGTATGGTATGAATTTGGTTCTACTCGATATGTTGTTAAGGTGGAAATGTATTATAATAATGTATCCAAACCTCTGCTTTTTGTGAGAGTTATGAAGTGTTTTTTTAATCAATTTTATTGGTGCATCTATTACCTTTTAGATTGTGCATCTATATTTAGGTAAAGGATCATGGAGATATACTTAAGCAACACAGGAAGGGTAAGAACAATTTGATATCTGATTTTCAGTATTCTGGCCGTATACATTGTAATTGCCAGTAGAAATTGAGAAAAAAAAAAAGAAAAAAAAAATTGATTCATTGGTTTCTTATAAGCTAAATGAAACTTTAAAAAGTGATTATAACATTCTGAAATATGAGATAATAAGAATACCTGGCCTTACTGTCTTAATGTTAAGTATTGTTCTCACATGAACTGATTTAAGATGATCTGAATTATAAATTATACCCCTTTACTCGAGAGAAAATATCAACATTATGGACAGTTCACAGTAAGTTCTAATTTTCTAGTGTTTTTTAGAATACTGATCTCTTTACTGAAATTCTCAGAGCAAGTTAAGTTGCCTTCAATTGAATGAAATATGATGTATCTGATATTGAATTAATATCTGGTTCTGTGTCCAGATTTTCTTCTCTTTTTTCCAATAAACGAGATGATTAGTTTTCCTTTTTCTTCAGATGTTTGTACAGATAGCTGTATCCGTTGCTACTGTTCTTCTGGGTTTTGTTTACAAGGCGATACAACCTCCCCCTCCAAAAGTATGTGGTTCACCTGGTGGTCCTCCTGTGACTTCACCAAGAATCAAACTCAGTGATGGCAGGCATTTGTCATATAGAGAGGCAGGAGTCAGCAAAGATGAGGCTAAGCACAAGATCATAGTCATTCATGGCTTCGCTAGCTCCAAGGATCAAAGGCTACCCATCTCTCAAGTATGAATTAACACTATTTCATTCCCTTCCCTCTAGAGTACAGGGACAAAAAGAAAAAAATATATAAGAAGTATCGTCTTTACTTTTAATGTGTTCTGTTTTTCATAAAATGCATAGAAGCACTTTTTTTTAGCTCACGCATGCCCAAATCAAATAAACATTTATATCCTAATTGGTAGTATTGAGTTGTCTTCTTTTATGAGGATAATTGTTTGATCACCATGTCCAACATTTTAGACGAGTGATAACTTCAGGAATATAATTTTGTAGTGATAGTATAGAAAGACCTGTATACCAAACATCACCTAGTTTCAATTTTTCTTTGACATTGATGCCCCTCTTGCACAATCTATTGGTTGCCAGGAACTTGCGGAGGAGCTAAACCTATACTTCCTGTTTTTTGATAGAGCTGGCTATGGAGAAAGTGATCCCTATCCAAACCGCTCTGTGAGAAGTGAAGCTTACGATATTCAAGAACTTGCTGATGCAATGCAGCTAGGATCCAAGTTTTATGTCATTGGAATCTCCTTGGGAGCTTACCCTGCATATAGCTGTATGAAATACATCCCACACAGGCACGAATTTCACATTGTACTACCTCCAACAATAATTGGATGGTGGAGGCGTATGCAGTATGCACAATGCATCAAGCCTAACTTCAAAGAACATGTAAACTAACTCCAATGAACATATACTCTAATGAACATAAACTCCAATGAACATAACATACATCATCTTAGTAGCTCTTATGTTCATTGGATTTTATGTTCATTGAAGTTAGTCTTCGTGTTCATTGAAGTTCTCTGAAATTATGGTCACTGTCCATACACCTCAACCATCACATTTGCACCTCCCATTTATCATTCTAAGCTGTCATAGAGCTAAGTTAACATGTCCTTTTATACTATAGTTTTTCCCTAAAGTTGGGACCAACACACACCCACCCAATTAACTCTGTTCTCCATAAACTGTGACCTCAATGTCAACTTAGCTCTATGACAGAGGAGTACTTGAATATGTGAATCATACCCCTCTGAAAAACCCTGCTGCAGTTTATGGATAGCATTTTAATCTTTAACCATATCAACAGATTGGCGGGGATCTCCTTGGTTGTTCCATTTGTCAACTACTGGTGGCCTGGTTTTCCTTGTTCCAGAGAATGTTTTAGGGGGCTTTGTCTGCAAGACCAATGTACCTTTGGAGTGGCACGTTATGCTCCTTGGTTGTTTTACTGGTGGATGACTCAAAAATGGTTCCCTTCATTAAGCCTCTTGTCTGGTGATCCATCTGTTTTCAGTCGACAAGATTTGGAAATTATGAAGAACATGCCACAAACTCCCCAGGTAGGTTAGATAACATGTTTTTTTCTTTTTTACTTCATCAATTTTTTTTTTCTTTTTTTTTTTGGGGTGGGGGGGTGGGGGGGGGGGGGGGTGGTGGGCGGAGTGTGTGTTCTGGCTATAATTGATTTTGGTCTATTACTCTATTACAAAGGCAATAGTTTGTGCTTTTATTTATAATGAGAACACAGGCAATAGAACAATTTTTCCAAATGAAGAACAATCTAATGTTTCAATACAACTTGTAAAACTCAGGATAAAAGCCGTCAACAAGGTGATTTTGAATCTCTTCATCGAGATATTATGGTCGGTTTTGGGACATGGGAATTTGATATCCTGGATTTAAAAAATCCTTTCCCTGGCTATGAAGGCTCGGCTCACATCTGGCAAGGCTATGAGGACAAAATAATTCCTTTTCAAATGAATCGCTATATCTCGAAAAAGCTTCCGTGGATTAAGTATCATGAAGTTCCTGATGGTGGACATCTGTTCATCAGTGATCAGAGCAGTTTTGAATCTATCCTAAGAGCACTTCTGTTTGAATAGTTTCCATCCTACATGCCTTTAACTTGTATGCAAATTGTCATTGGTCTGGACTTTGTAATAATTGGGAATAACATTTTTAATTATTTATACCCCCTTCTGGTGTGGTATTTAATCTACTTTTTACATTTCGAATGTGAATGTTTTGAAATGCTGATGTTGGGTTTGTATGAAGTTGTAACTACTGAGAAGATTTGCCAGTTGCCACAGGTGTGTATTTAAATGTGGTATACCAGGAGGTTAAGGGGACATGCATGTCATTGTTTTTTTTTTTTGACATTTTATATTAATTTGGAATTCCCTTGTTTTTTGTTTTTCAATCTATTTTTAAACGTTTTTATGCCAAAAGAAGAATGCACAACTTTACAGAAAGCTGGAGTACTATCACACAGAAGCAAGGCAAATTCAGGTAGTTAATTAATCATGTAGAAGTGAAGAAAGGTGTAAAAATTTTATGGGTAATTTCTTGCATCTAACATCTATTCATTTTTGTTCTAAAGGACATATTTTATTTGTTTTTAACCATCTAAGTATGCATATGCTCTTTTACTCAGCTAAAAGGAATAACAACCAGAGAAAATCATTTTGCAGTTACATAGTTTATACTTGTTTCAATTATAGGCATACCATGCGTGTATTAGGATGTCGCTTGTCATGACTTCTGAGCTTCTGTAACTTGAAGAATGCAAACAACTCGCCAACCTGTGTCTCTGGACAGGTATGTGCCAAAACATTTTTTCTTTCCTGCATTTGTACAATTATTTGATATAGTTCATGCTTGTCCTGTTGCTTCATTTTTCCCTTTGTCTAGCATTTTCATTGCTGGAATCTTCAGTTGCTCTGCCTGATTATATAAGCTGGGTATTGCAGAAATGTGGATAGCTGCAATTTATCTCACTCTTCTTGTTGCTGGGGGGAATATATCAGATGGTAAAACTACCTTCCTCTAAAAAAATGTGGTTTAGCTAATGGTCCTCTTGTAACATCACCTAGAATCAAAATTGAGTGATGGAAGGTACTTGGCTTGCAAAGTCCGAGGAGCTGCGAAAGAAACTGTTAAAGACCAAGTCTTAATCAATTCTGGTTTTCTTCCTTAAAAGACATTTATGTACCTATATCGGATGTAAGAACTGATCTGCCTAAATTTTACTCAATTTTTGCTTGCATTATGCATGGGAGATTATCTTTTTCTCTATGCCCTGTGAACAGAATCGTTGACATATCCAGTTTTGTTGTATACATACTTGTTCCCATAATCTTATCTGATAATTTTGGTTTACTAGTAAAAATAAACTTCGAAAATTATGTTAATATACTTGATTTCCTGTATGCAGGAATGGTTGCAAGATTTGGGCATATAACTATATAGAGCAAAAGTGCCCCGTCTTACCCCCTTTACCCCCACAATATTTACACTTTTCCACTCACTCTCTCCTACTGTATTCACCCCTTTCTTTTACTCACTCAACTTTTTACCCCCTTCTCTTATTCTACCCTATTTTTTCTTACACACACTCAACTCCCCTAGAAACAAAAGTCGGCTATAAATGAAACACAGGGAGTAGAAATAGTCAATGTGCTGTGCATACAAAATATAACTTTTGGGAGGGAAAGGGGTGGTTGTGGTCGTCATTGGTGGTGCTGTCATGGTCAACCTGGTTGTAATTCTTGTTATTATACGGAGTAGCTTTGTTTAGTTTACCTCTTATTGCTTATTCCAGTTTGTAGAAAAAATTAGTTTATACAGAGTATCACATTATTAAAATTAAGGTGAACTAACCAAGGCCAAGTCCATAAATCTTTACAAATCACAATAGTAGGGTAAATCAAAGTATCTTTAAGAATAAATTAATGTAAAATGTCTAAATTGTGTTGAATAGAATACTAGTATTTAAAGTGACCAATAATATGAGATGGAGGGTAGTATTGATTTTTTTTTTTTTTTTTTACTTTCCTCCTCTTTCTAGATAATAGAACAACAATTTGGAATGCAATGTGCCTTTTTAATGGAAAGTTCAATTGCAGTTGGTTTCTAGACATTCAACTTCTCTATTTCTGGAGATTTATAATATTATATGCCCTGCAATGGAAAATTAGACATGTTACTACGTTAGTCTTCACAAAAACGCAATCACTTATCTCAAAAAAAAAAAAGGTGAATACTTGCCGTGGTAAAATTAAGAATTGCTTGTCATTTGGCAATAATATAAATATTAGCACTAGAATTAATTATACCTTAAATGAATGCTTCTCCTACTAGAATTCAGTAAAATTTTGTAAAGTGACTTTCAGAAAAGTATCTGGGATCCTGAGTCATCTTCCACTGACAGCAGATCTCCTGCTCTTGGTTCATTTTCTGGTTTTTTTTAGCATAAAGGTAAATTTTTTTGTTCATTTCTCCATAAAATCTTACTTTTGTTAATCTGCTTTTATATTTTGGGCTGTTTTTGTCCTTGAATGAGATTTTAAATATTGTCATCTTTGCTCTATAGGTTTGTTATTCCTAGGAATGAAAAATGTGAAAAATGGATATATATCAATCATCTCAGACTCTTGAGCTATCTGCCAGGGAAGGATAAAACACTGGAAAAGAAAAAAGACCGTGGTGGATTTTAAACTATGATCATGTAATTCTAGTTGTTGAAAGCAGTGATGAACACATAGTTTAAAGTTTTTTTTAGTGAAGATTAGCCCACAAGTCTATTCCTTCTACCCTGAAAATTGAAATAACCCATGCTGTTTAGTAGAGAATATATGTGGCCCTAGTGTTAGTTTCTTTCAAGTAATATAAAATGAGCATATATGAGTAGTATATTTGGCTTATCGTTATATACACTTGTATTCTATTTGGTGTATTGGTGCAATAGATACTAATGTAGTTAGAGACAGAGTTTCGCTTGTGCTCCCAATAAATCAAGTGCTACAATTTTCAGTTCTTGGGCCTTCCATGCATGTAATTGATTTATGTTTACAGACCTTGACTTTAAATTATAAAATTATACGGTGTATTATATATAACTGTCTGTTTTCTCAACTTAACATCATAATAATATATCCAAATGTCTGCTTTTGTGAGAGATATGGAGTACTTTTTTTCACTTTTACTGGTCCATCTATTATTCTTTGGATTTTACATTATGAAATTATCTCCCTCAAAACCCATATATTGAGGTAAAGGGTCATGGACAGATACTTAAACTTTAACAAGAAGGGCAAAAAACAGTCTGCTATATGATTTTTGAGTCTTCTGGCAGTATATGTTTGTAGTGCCAGTGAAAATTGATTCATTGGTTCATTATAATCAAGCTAAAGTGATTATTAGTTTTGAAAAATGAGACTGTGAATACATGGCCTTAGCTTAATGTATCAATATCTAGTATTGTTCTATTGTTCTAACATGACCTGGAATTAAGATGATTTGAATCATAATCATACCCTTTAGGCCTTTACTCCAGTGAAAATTTTCAGCACTATGTATGGTTTACAGTTGATTCTACTTTTCTTAATGAATTTTTGGATGACTTATGGTGTATCTGACATTGAGTGAATGTCTGGTTCTTTTCTTCAGATGTTTATACAGATATCTGTAGCTTTTGCTACTGTTCTTCTGGGTTGTATTTACGAGGCGATTAAGCCTCCCCCTCCAAAAATATGTGGTTCACCTGGTGGTCCTCCTGTGACTTCACCAAGGATCAAACTCAGTGATGGCAGGCATTTGTCATATAAGGAGGCAGGAGTCAACAAAGATGAGGCTAAGCACAAGATCATAGTCATTCATGGTGTTGGTAGCTCCAAAGATCAAAGTCTACCCATCTCTCAAGTATGAATTCACACTACTTTATCCCCCAGGACAAATAGAAAAGGATATCTGCTTTGCTTTTAATTTGTTCTGTTTTTCATGATTTGCATAGAAGCACTTTTTTTTTTTTGTAACCTCACATATGCACATTATAAATAAATGTTATATCCTAATTGGTAAGATTGGGTTGTCTTCTCTATGAGGAGAACGTAGGTGAATTTTCATAGAAATTACCTGATCACCATGTCTACCATTTTAGGCAAGTGATACCTTTAGTCACACAATTTTATAGTGACATTTGCTCGAAAAAGTTCCAAGGGACAAATCTTAATTTCACTTCTATTTACACACTTTTGAAAAAAAAAACAAGCACTGGACATTATAGTTCTGAAGTTTTGACCAGTTTATATATTAGAATAGCAACAATGAAAAATTGAAACTAGGAATGGTTAGATGACAGTAATGTAATTCCTGAATTTTTTTTTAGACCATTGATTGAAACTAGGAATGGTTAAATGACATTAATGTAATTCCTGAATATTTTTTTAGACCATTGATTGATAATCCTATGTTGAACTAAACTTGCACAATCTATTGGTTGCCAGGAACTTGTGGAGGAGCTAAAGCTATATTTCCTTTTTTATGATAGAGCTGGCTATGGAGAAAGTGATCCCTATCCAAATCGGTCAGTGAAAAGTGAAGCATACGATATTCAAGAACTCGCTGATGCATTCATGCATTGCAGCTAGGATCCAAGTTTTATGTCATTAGTATCTCCATGGGCGCTTACCCTGCATACAGCTGTATAAATTACATCCCACAAACGCATGACACTCAGATTTTACGCCCCCTACCCCCTCAAGGCTAAGTTGACATATATCATTTTGAGCTGTCCTAGAGCTTAGTTAACATGTCCTTTTCTACTAAGATTTTTCTCTCTACCTTTTTATGTTAACATAGCTCTGGGACGGAGAGAGTACTTTAATATGTAATTGTTACTTCTCTGAAAAACCTGCTGCAGATTATGCTTTGATAGCATTGTAATTTGTTAACCATATCAACAGATTGGCTGGAATCTTCTTGGTTGTTCCATTTGTCAACTACTGGTGGCCTGGTTTTCCTTGTTCCGGAGAATGTTTTAGGGGGCTACGTCTGCAGGACCAATGGACCTTTCGAGTGGCACATTATGCTCCTTGGTTGTTCTACTGGTGGATGACTCAAAAATGGTTCCCTTCATATAGCCTTATGTCTGGTGATCCATCTAATTTCGGTTGACGAGATTTGGAAATTATGAGGAACATACCACAAGATCCACAGGTAGATTTTTTTTGGGAATTCATCTTATGTTTTTT